GTTTACATATGTGTGTACTGTATATATTTATTATGTATAAATAAACACACACACATACAGTATATATACTGAAAATATTTACATGTGTATATACATTTATATATTTATATTCTTATATTTGATATTATATATAAATATATTTAATGTATAAACAACATATTTTTCTGAAATATATGCATGTGTTTGTAATTATATACACATAATAAATATACACAGTACACACACATATACTATGTAAACAATAACTTTTATTTTGGATGCGATTAATCATTTGACAGCGCTAGCAAAAACCTTGTGTTGTGTTTTCACAGCTCACAGATTCTGACCATCTCTCCAGCGATGACGCCCCTAAACCAAAGCCAGACGTGAACTCTGAGGAGCGGCCGCTAGATCCGTTCTGGGAGAGCGGTCTGCATCTGAGTCTGACCGCGGCGGAGGCCAAGCAGAAAGCCCGGGCCAAACGGCCCAACAAGAGAGCGCCCCCGATGGACTGGAGCAAGAAACAGGAAATCTTCGGCAACTTCTGAGCAGCCACACATCGGAAAGCTCACCTCAGTCCTAGAGAGACACCACCAACACACACAGACCCGACCAAAGACATGCAGCTTAGACCAGATTAGATCAACCTCCAGAAACGAGTGAAAGGGTGAGAGAGGAAAGGCTTGAGTTTGGATTCAGGCTGATCTGACAGAAATGCAACACGTTTGTTCTTGATGCACATCATATTATGGGTTCAACTGAGCTTAATTTGGCATTTGTTGCTAGTAAGTGCTTCACATTCAGCCAGTTGGTTGTTTTACCCAATAATGCGCAGGTTCCCTTCTTGAAGTCACTTCACTGCCATCGCATTTCTACTCTTTCTCAAACACAACAGCAGTTTCCACAAAGCAGACAATAAGGAAGGAATGCAAAGAGAGTGAGAAAAGAAGGAAAGACATACTGAAGGAAAGGTGAGGAGAAAGTGAACAAAAGATGGCAACTGAACATCGAGCTGAGAAGCCAAAGGTTGTAGGTTCAAACCCCTGAAGAAAGAAGTTACCATTAGAGAAAATGCACAGTAAGTTGTGTTGGTTGACAATGAACGATCAGAAGAAAATAAAGAGGTTCAGTCAGAGATCTTTACACCGTGAAGTTGAGTTCATCTTTATGCTAGTGTAGCCTACTCCTAAATCCTCACAACACTCACTCTTAGCAGAAATAGCTACACTTAAACTATACAACAAAAACATTGATGACATCCTGCACTACGCAGATTTTCGTCCAATCAGATGCTCTCTAGAATTAGCATATTAGCTAATGGCTGTTTTTTTAAAGGGACGATCTCCTCAATATGTCCCAAGCTCAAAGAATATTTATGTATTTATTTTCTTGCCATGCTCTCATGAATGCTGGTTTAACATTGCTAAATGATATTGAATATTGGGTATTTATAGACCTTATAGTTCAACAGGCTGTCATTATCATCTTATTCTAGATCAATATTAACCAGTCTGTTCGAGCAGTGAACCTCATCTGTTTCTGACCTCAGTCTCTTGTGTGGATTTCAAAAATCAAAAGTAAAACAATGTCTTTAAAAATGCACTAACACATGTACAGAAATCTAGCTATTAATAATTAATAACATAATTGTGTATTCTGAAAACGTAAAGAAATACAACAATGTAACTGATTACAGAAAATCCCTAATATATTTACATCTGAGGCATGTTGTTTTAAGTCAATTTTGTTTAGAGTCGTTCTACATTTAAACTTAGACTACATTATTAGATTACCTTTTGACTTTATGAATGCACATAAATGACAGCTTAAAGGGGTCATAGGATGCTACATGCACTTTTACAAGTAGTTTGAACTGAAATGTGTGTTGGCAGTGTGT